TTTTTGTATTTTTTAAAACCAAAGCATTTATTGTAAGTAATCATTGAAATTCTCAAGATGAACTGGATGCTGCAACAGCTGCTCTCTTGGGTTTAGGTGTTGTTCCTTCATGGAATCCATGCCTGAATCTGCGATACACAATTTTTAGGTGCCTCATTCTCCCGGTTTCGGTGGTATTTCTCCTTTTAGCCTTTGCACTCCAGTTACACTTTCTCTTGCGCTTGACAGGGTAGCCACATTTGCCACAGGTCAACTTCTGAAGGTGGTAGGCCTTAGAGCCACAGCGGCGGCACAACGTGTGCGTCTTATTACGACGCTCTCTGAAAGATGACGTTCCCTTCCTCATCTCGCTTGTGCCGCCGAGACCAAAGAGACCGGAAGAGATGAAAACTTAGTTTTATTGATTTTTATCTCTTTACAAATAAAAGATCTTTCAGTAGTATTTTGGGACAGTGTACAGAGTTAAGACTTTGATGTACATATGCATTATATTTTCAGGAGAAAATTAGGGTGTTGATAAGCTATTACTCATATTTTCTAAATTTGGTTGTTATTTTGAATATGGCTTGGAGTCCTGCCTGATCCTCTCTGCTTGAAACTTCTCTGCCGAGGTTTCCAGGAAATCTAAGCTGGATGAATGTGTCAGAATATTTCCTTTAAAAAAAGAGAATATTTCCTTATAAAAGGGTGTCTGTCTTGTTAGTCACACAGTATTAACCTTAGGGTTAACCAGCTGGTAGAATTGTTACACATATAATTGACTAGTTTAATGTTATAAATGTTTTTAAATAATCTTACTCTGAGTAGCACTGAAGTATGTGGTATATAACTTGAAATTATTACTGACCAAGAATAATTCTTGGAGAAAGTAAATAATTCAGTGTTGTTATCTCAAAGGAAGCAGAACTAAGCTTATAATAGTTTTAGTTTAAAATTCAGATATTTAAATGTAAAAATAAATACTTTGAATTAAAATTTAACTTGTATGAAATATTGAGTTACTAAGAAGAAGAAAAATGTATTTTACTATATGTGATGCACTTTACTTTCTATTTCCCCTATATGATTTAATCTTTTAAAAAACTTGTCATACTAACTAAATTGATTACATAGTCCATAATGGATTGCAGTCTGCACTTTGAATGATGATGCTTCTGAGGGAAACTGGCCTTTTTTGTGGCCCTTCTGGTGCTTGTTATCCTTGAAGAGCAGAAGATCAGGCACTGGCTATCTGCTAGGCAAAGGCCGAACTCTGAGCGTGCAGAGGAAAGACGCCCAAGACTTAATAATCTGTTTTGTCCTAATTTAAGGCTCACCTCCCCACCTTCCTCCATCACCCCAATTTGTATAATCCCTTTTGATTCCTTTCTCTCTTTTAATAAGCCTCACTTGCTATCCAAGGTTTCCTGTTCCTTTCAGAGTTCCTCATGACTCACTATAGATACCATTTAGACAGTATAATACCCACTTAGTATGATGAATTTAGACTTTACCCTTTGTGGGGATTTTTGTTTTCCTTTTGGTGGCACTGGGGATTGAACTTGGGGCCTTTTTGAGTTACATCCCCAGCCCTTAGACAGGGTCTTGCTAAATTGCTCAAATGGGTCTCAAATTTGTGATCCTTCTGCTTTAGCTTTCCTCAGTGCTGGGCTGGGCTCCTTGATTGGGAATCACGAACATGATTTGAAGGCAGTTCTCAGAAAACAGCCTGACACTCAAATATATATTCTGTGTGTTCCTCAAGCACTTGCAATCTAACGTGAAATTTACTCTCCTTTCCCTGTGACCCTCACTAAAGTATTCTTTCACTAGTCTCCTTCCCTTAAGAAATTCAAGCTAGGTGTGGTCGTATATGCCTGTAATTCTGGCTCTCTGGAGGCTGAGGCAGGAGGATTGCCATGAGTTCAAGGCCAGTCTGGGCTACATACTGAGTTTAAACCACATAGCAAGACTGTGTCTCAAAAAACCAAGAAAGGCTGGGATTTAGCTCAGTGGTTCTGCCACCTGCCTCGCAAGCGCAAGGCCCCAAGTTCAATCCCTGGTACAGAACAAACCAAGAAAAAAAAATTTGGTCAGCTGTTTCAGTGACTAGTTTTTTATTTTAATCATGTTGGTCCAGTAGAACAGTTGTATCTTTCTGTTACTCTCCTACAAATCAGCACATTTAAAGGAAGTGATAGTTGGCAGCTTATTATATTCCAGGAGTTTTGGTGGGTAAATACTTGCTTGACCTAAGTATGATTTTCCTTATCTCCTTTGATATTTATAACAACCTGACATGTAATATAAGAAGAATTATCTAACCGATTCTTTTATGGAGCTTAGCAGAGCTGGATTTTGGACACATAGCTGCTGAATCCCAAAGCCAGTAGTGAAAGTGAAAATTAAAACAGTGCAGGTTTTTTTTTTTAAATGATGTTGCTTATTGTTAACACAGAGCTTGAGCTAGGTACCTGGTAGAGTGCGAGTTACTACCCCTTTCCTGGATGCAGCTTTGCAGTGTGCAGCAACTACTTAAAAATAGTAATCTTTCTTCTAGCATTTCTAGAAATTTATCCTGAGGAGTTCATTAGGGAATCAGATTAATCTATATTAATATTAATCACAGCATTGTTTGAACACAGTTTCAGGATGAACTAAGTGCTTTAAAAACCCAGTTATAAAATGGTGCATCTACATCTTAAAATTCTAGGCTGCCTTTAAATTGCTTTTGAATATTTAATGAGGATAAAATGCTCATAATAAGAAAGGTAAGCAGGATAAATATTGTGATCCCAGTTGAAAATAAAATGGAGCTATCCTATCTGTGTATAGAAAAAAACCTGGAATGAAATGCCCTTGAATTCTAGGAGTGGTTTTAAGTGAGAAAAAAGTAACATGTAAAGGGTGCTTTAATTGAATTTTCTAAAAAGGTTTCTCTGTGATTCTAAATTTTTCTCATGAGATTTTTTTTTTTCTCATGAGATTTTTTAAAAAATGGGATTTACTATCTTTTGTATTAGAAACATGGCTGCAGTAAGTTACTTGGGAATCATATTTTAGGCAGATCTGAATAAGCCTAATTTCTACTCCTAATGATTATTTAGTATGACACTCCTTATATCCATATGAAGATCCAGTATTAATTGTATTCTTATGATCTTGGCAAACTGAAGGTTTAAAATAACTTGGAAGCCAGGTGTGCTGGTGCATGCATATAATCCCTGCAGTCAGAAGGCTGAGATGGAAGGATTGCTGAAGAGATCAAGGCCAGCCTGAACTACATAGAGAGATTCTGCCTCATTCATAAATAAATAAATAATTATAACTTGGAATCACAGACTTGTTTTCCTCCTAATATTTTGTTATAAAAATTTTAAAACATACCGGAAAAGCTGAAGTAATTTTACAGCGACTACCTATAAACTTTCACCATCTAGTTTCTGCTATTAACATTTTTTGTTAACTTGCTTTACCACTTATCTCTCCATGTAACTCTCACAACTTTTTATATCTTACCATATATTTTGATGCATTTGTAAGTTACAGACATCAGTACATTACCCAGAACCATGGGATTTTAGGCTTACGAGTGATTTTCAAGCTTACACAAAAATCTCACATTGATACCACACACAAGAGCTATCTGCAGTAGCACTCAGGTGGAAGTGAGAGTGAGGTCCAGCCTCTTCCCTGGCCTTTTCTGCATCTCAGTCTTTGTCAGGTACCTCACAGTTTGCGCATTGACACTGTCCCCCCAGCTCTACCTGAGGGAATCCAGACCCAGAGGTGTTATGATCAGCCCAAGGCTGCTGAGAAAGTGAATAGATGAACTAGGAGTCAACGCCAGTCTCCTGAGTTTTTTTTTTTTTTTTTTACACTTGCGCAGCAGGCAGCGAAACCACTGAGCTAAATCCCTGGCCCAGGTCTCCTGAGTTTGATCATGACTACTCATGATCATAGCCTCCCGGAGCTGTGGGATCAAGGACCCCCACTTTGAATCACCCATAAAGTTTTTTTTGTTGTCTTACGTGTCTCACTTTAATTATGAGTCAGTAAGCTGTTCATCATGTCAATATAAATGTACTGTACTTATTCCGGAAGTAAATCTTCACGTAAAAGAGAAAGGAATTGTGGCGTTAAAGTAGATTTTTGATATGGAATAAAAGACCCTATCTTGAGAGAATAATTTGGATGATTTGGGTAATCATATCATGGCCTAGTATTCTCTTGACAATCATTTTTTAAAAATTTGGAAATGTGGGCCTGGGATTTAGCTCAGTGGTTCCACTGCCCACTTCACAAGTGCAGAGTCCTGAGTTCAATCCCCAGTACCAAAAAAAAAAAATTGGAAATGTTATGGTGTGGGTAAATAAGGATATTATAAGGCTGGGGATTTAGCTGAGTGGTTCTGCCACCTGCCTCACAAGCGCAAGGTCCCAAGTTTGATCCCTGGTACCAAAACAAACAAAAGGATATTATAATATACTTCATTTCTTGATTTGAATTATTTAAGTTTTAAATTATTTTGAAATAAAAAGAATAGATCCTAAAAACACACAGTTAATTGTCTATAATTGCAGTAGCAATTAAGTGAAATTTACTTCAGTGGCCTGGAAATGCATTAAAAACTTGAGTGGTTTTTTTTTTTTTTTTTTTTTTTTGGTACTGGGGATCAAACTTGGGACCTTGTGCTTGCAAAGCAGGCACTGGAACCACTGAGCTAAATCCCTGGCCCTTGAGTGTTTTTATTGTACTTACAGTTGTTATTTCTGAACATGTAAACATACTGACCAGGAAGTACATTATGTCAAGAGCTGGGTGAGGTGGCATGCCAGCAGCTCCTGCTGCCCTGCAGGCTGAGCCAAGAGGATCACAAATTCCTGATCAGCCTGGGCAATTTAGTGACACCCTGTCTCAAAACAAAAAAATAAAGAGGGCTCTGGATATAGCTCAGAGATAGAATGGTTGCCTAGTATGTGTAAGGCCTGGGGTTCAATCCTCTGCACAGTTGAATGAATGACATAGTACCATCAGTTACCAAGAATGTTTCCTTTTTTTAACCTTCTAAAAAACAGTGAAAAAGAGGAGGAACTGGCACAGGCATGACTACACAGAAATTGATGATGGTTCCAAACCAGTACAAGCTGGAACCAGGACTTTCGTCAAAGAGTTACGTGCTCGAGTCTTCCCAAGGTATGGAAACTCTTCTGACTGAACAATTTAAGGATGTTGGCTGATAAAATGACATTATCCAAAGCAGTATTTTGAAGATTCAGGGTGCAACTCCTTATTATTCTCAACTGGCTTTTTACTTTTTTCTGTATTGAAATAGAGTAGAAAATATCTGTACATTTCAGGTACAAAGAATAAGCATTATTTCTTAGAATATTTGCTGTATGTATATGCATAATGGTTGCCATGTGAAAATATACTTCTTAGTTGTGGGCTACAATCTGAAAACTTCTGAGATATGCTGATGTGAAGCAGTTGTTCCCAGTGCTTGGCTCCTTCTGATAAGGAGCTGCTGCTGCTTTTTCTTTAATCTCATCCTGTCTTTGGAGCTGCTTTTTTCTCCACATTGTTTTCATTATCTGTCTGTGCCCTTGATCTGCCAGAAGCACCCACAGTGTTTCCTTAGCTATTGATGGCAGCAAGGCTGAGCTTTTTGATTTTTGAAAATAATAGAATATATTTCAGTTGTCTGTGGCTCAAAGAGAGTCAAAAGCATTATAAGGCATTTAATCATGCTAATTTAGATCATTTCCTACTTAGTGCCTGACATCTATTTAAAGTGATAAAGCTTAATGGGCTTTTACACCAGATCATATCCAGGCTTGATAAAGAGGGGAAGTACAATTTAAATTTAAACCACAGTGTCATATGTGGCCTATTATGGAGGTTTTTTTCAGATTTTGAAATGAAAAAAAAACCCTATTCTTTCTTTTTCCTCAATCTAGCTTGTCTGTCCTCCTGCCCCTTAATCCTTAAACAGAAACATATCGATAAACATCTGTATTGGCTCTCTCAAGTCTGCAGAGAAACAGAAAGAAAACTTGTACAGAATAAACATACTGTTTGCATGTGATTTTTGTTGTGTTAAAGCCCTTGTTCTCCTTTATCAATTTTGAAGTCATAGAAGAAGTGTTAGCTTGCTTTCCCTGTTATTGGACGGTGCTTGAGTGGCATGGAGCTTGTAGTCCGGGTCTGTCTGTGGACCTGGGCGGGTTCAGGACCGCCCTCAAATATTGCATACGGTGTAGTGCCCTGTGTGAGCGTGCCCTTCTCAGGGAGAGAAGCCATGGCTTTTACTTTTTTCACATAGATTTGTGAGCCCCCCAAAAAGTAGTATTAAAAACTTTGGTCTAGTAATTCATGCGACTTTTTTGCCTTAGTGAACACAGATGAGAAGAAATTATCACAGATACCTAAACTGTAATTACCATTAATTAAAGGTTTTGGTTTTATTTTGTTTAACTCCATAAGCCTTTGAATCATGTAAAGCCATGGTAGAATAACAATAACTACTAAATTGTGCATGATGATATAATTAACATAGAAGTATATAAAAATGGATAGATTTGCTTCCGTCTCCTATTTTAAGACTTAGTGTCTTTTGAGACCATTTTCTATATAAATATTTAAAACATTTATGTGTGTGGATATATGAATGTATATATGCACATAATTTTTAAAATAAAATGAAATTGGGCCAGGGATTTAGCTCAGTGATGCTGCTGCCTGCCCGTGACCACGAGGTTCTGAGTTTGATCCCCGGTACCGCAAAAAAAAAAAAAAAAAAGAAATTATGTTAGGCATAGTGTTGTGCAGTTTGCCTTTTTTACTTTAGATATCCTTCCATACACACACACCCCTAACTTCTGAACTATTGTGTAATATGCAATACCATACTTGGTTTAATATCTCCTTATGTATATTTGTTTCTAATTTTTTTCCTCTTTCAAATAATGTAGCTATATTTTAAGGGCTTGCATCTATTTTTTGATTAACAGGGGAAGTGAAGCACTATTAACATTTGAGATTGGGGAAAAAAACATTTGAGATTGGGAGTACAGATGATAAATTTTCTCTTAGATTGAAGTTTAAGGATTAATTAATCTTAAGAGAGCAAGGGAAGGAGGGTAAACTAAAAGGTGGGACAAAACTCAAGTTCAGTAGATGAGTTAGATGAAGAAGACCTAAGCCATCTGTTTATAAGACTGTCTAAGCTGGGTGTGTGGGGGGGGTACCCATCTGTAATTGCAGCACTTCAGGAGGCTGAGGCAGGATCACCCCAAGTATGAGTCTAGCTTGGGCAACTAAGTGACTTAGTGAGACCCTGTCTCAAAATAAAAAAATAGAAAGGGCTGGTAATGTAGCTCAGTGAGAAGGCCCTGGGTTCCATCTCTAGCACTGTCCCCACTGAAAGGACTGTCTGGGAGAAGGCTGTCTCAGTTTTCTAAGACCTGTGTGTCCCTGCCTTTTTGAGACTGGGAAGATCAGAGCCCAGTAATGCAGAGGACCACCTAGTTTGTAGGTGACATCAAATAGCCAAGATCTGATATAAATAGAAACTGCTATGTTTTAACAGTTAAGGCAAGTTGTATACTTAAGTTTGAATGCGCAGAGGCTGCATACTGAATTTCTTTGGATTTATAGTGGAGGACAGTAACAAGGGACAAGTCACACCGAAGTGTAATATCTTTTTTTAAAATTTTTTTGGTACTGGGGATGGAACTCGGGTCCTTGTGCTTGCGTAGCAGGCAGTGAAACCACTGAGCTAAATCCCCGGCCCTGAAGTGTAATATCTATATCAGGGAGGGCAGCCTGAGGCCCAATAATTTTTAGTCAATTAAATATCTACCTAATATTAAAGGCTTACAAATACTAGTTGGAACAGATCACTTAAATCAGTAATCCTCACTGGGGGCATTGGGAACACTTGTCTCAGTGGGCAGGGGCCAAGGGTACTAGTCACCCTCCTGTATGCAAGACAATTCATTGTTCTGTGTTCCATTAGATTTTGAAATGCCTGATAAATATTTGAATAGAACTTTATAGTCAGTAAAATCTGGTCTTTTTTTCACTTATCCTACACTAGTTTTTTTTGTTTTTTTTTGGTACCAGGGATCGAACTCAGGACCTTGTGCTTGCGAGGCAGGCACCAGAACCACTGAGCTAAATCCCCGGCCCCTACACTAGTTTTTGTTGTAATATATACCCTGCCTATCTGCGCTTCTGATTTTCTACACAGCTTGTATTGAGTGGCTTTTGGTTTGTTCGGTTTCTTTTGGTTTTTTTTTTTACTTTTCTTAAATTTAACCCTTCATTTACAACTAATTTTAAACGTCTTGTTATTTTATTATGTCTTCGAGTGTAGTTTACCTGAACATTTACATATGGAAATACATATTTTGCTCTAAACTAGTTTGTTGCTCTTTTTTTATGCTTAGAGCATTTTATATATTTTCTAATCACAATGTATTGAATTAAAGATTATATTATCTATAAATTTTACCTTAGATGGCAAAAAGGGCTTTGCAAAATATATTTGTTATTAAGAGAATTAGATATGCCTGGTATGGTGGCACACACCTGTAATCCCAGCACTTGGGAGGCTGAGGTAGGAGGATTGCTGTGACTTCGAAGCCAGCCTGGGCTACATAGTGAGGTCAGGGCCAGCCTGAACTACAAAGGGAGACCCTACCTCAAAAAACCAAAAAAAAAAAAAAAAAAAAAAAAAAAAAAAAAAAAAAATGAGAGAGAGAATTAGATATGATAGGTGAAAAGTGATACAGCTAAGCACTATGAATTTTTTTTTTTGGTACCAGGGATTGAACTCGGGACCTTGTGCTATTCCCGGCCCCTAAGCAGTATGAATGTTAACCACTGTCACAGTTACTGTTTTAAAACTGAACTTATCAACAAAAATAACATCTTACTTTTACATTTTTAGTGCCGATGAAATCATTGTGAAGATGCATGGCAGCCAGCTGACACAGAGATACCTGGAGAAACACGGATTTGATGCCCCTATCATGGTCCCTAAATTAGATGACCTAGGACTCAGGCTCCCTCCTCCTGCTTTTTCTGTGTTGGATGTGGAACGTTATGTAGGTACGAACTTGGCTCCTTTAAGTTCTTGGCAAAATGGTAAAAGTAGAAGTGAGAGTGTGCTAAATATTAAAACTGAGTGAAAAAATTTCAGTTTAGTCCCATTACCTGGGTCAGTGAAAGTGAGACTCAGCATCATGCTGTTGAAAGCTGCTTTTCTAGCAGACATCCTGCGTCAGAAAAACCAGTGTTTGCCCATTTCGACTTGTGTGGTCTCATCTTGCTGCTGTTGTTGGTGTCATTGAATCTGACATTATACTCACTTGAGGAAAACCCAGACCGAGGGCTGGCTGCAGAGCCAGGAGGATGTGGGGAGCTGCGCTGCCTCTAGGCACCTGTACGAGCCTGGTGCGGAGTTCCTGGAGCCCACTATAGTGACAAGCCCTTTGCACCACTTTGTGCCTGTTGCCGAGATGGGGGGCTGGAAGAAGAGGAGATTCTGTTCAACCCGTTTTTATATTAATGACTCGGTGACTGCTGGATGACATGTGGACTTAACTTGTAATATTGAGGCCCAGAAAGCAATTAAGAAACAAGGGGAAAGGGTCGGGGATTGAGTTCAGTGGTGTTGCTGCCTGCCTCATAAGGGCAGGTTTCTGAGTTTGAGCCCCGGTTTGAAAAAAAAAGAAACAAAGGGGAAAAGTTTTTTACTGATTGCCAAATTGTTGACATTTTCAGTCATTTCAGTTATTCTCATCATGATATTTATAATGTTGACTATATATAGATACGACTGTTTTGTTTTTGTTTTTGTTTTTGTTTTTTGGTACTGGGGATGGAACTTGGGACCTTGCGCTTGCAAGGCAGGCAGCGGAACCACTGAGGTAAATCCCCAGTCCTCCATTGTTCTCAACAATAGATATTATTTGAAGATTAGATTCCAACTATACATTTTCTCAGAATTGTATGTTTATTACATTGTCTCCTCAGCATGGAATATCAAGAACTTGTCCCTTTATTGAGCTATTATTGGTTGACAGTTTTCACCGATAATTATTTTACTGTGGAAATCCAATTAAATGTCCTGTCTTCACATTCAGCTAAATTTGTGATAAATCAGGGAGTGAGCCTGAGATTTAACCAAAACCTGTTTGCATAGATAAGCATTATAAAATAAATGGGTTGTGTAATATAGGTATAGAATGAAGTGTTCAAAGTGGTTGACAGCTTTTTAATACTGTAAAAGCTTCTCTAGTTAAATACTAGTAACAGAGCTATTATATCCTGAAGATCAGAAATGTATAAGATATTATTACTATTATTAACCTATGTGAAGTTACATGAGAAAATAACCTTTTATTTGTTTTCTATTTCAGATTGGTTAAGTATTGCCATACTTTGAATTCTGCCCAATTTTTGTTTGTTTGTTTTTTTGAGATAGGGTTTTGTTGTGTAGTCAAGGCTGGCCTTGAACTCACTTGTAGCCTAGTCTGGCCTCAGACTCACAGCAATCCTCCTGTCTCAGTCTCCTAAGTGCTGGGATTACAGGTGTGTGCCACCACTGCTGGCAAATTCCACCCTGTCCTGTAGTCCACTGTAAACTGATTATGCTTCCTAGAGTGGCATTGTGATGTTCATCAGCTTATGCTTTTATAGGAAAATTGAATTAATTACAACTTAGAACTTGTGCATTTAGATAGGCACTAATAGGGCGGGGGATTTAGCTCAGTGACACCCTGCCTGCCTTGCAAACACAAGGTCCTGTGTTTGATCCCTGGTACCGGCGTGGGGGGGAAGGCACTAAAGAAAAAGGCACTATTATGAGCTGATTCTTTTGCCTTTGAACCACTAATCCCCTTTCTCCATCCCTTAGTCCCTCCCCTCTTTCTCTTTTTCTTCTTGTGGTACTGAGGATTGAACCCACATCCTTCACCTGCTAGGCATATACTCTACCACTGAGCTACATCCCCAGCTTTTTTCACTGAAAGAGAATATTAAAAGAAAAGGTACTACCAGGAATGTGGTTAGCCTGGCCAACTTGCTGACTCATTCTTCAATGAGTGATTTGTTTTTCAAAATGATAGACTTAGAATCTTAGACATTATAGAAGTTAAAAGGTAAAATTAATCCTCTCATTTTATGCATGAGGAAATTGAAACCCAGAAAATGTCAGAAAATTTTCATCTCCCAATATCTATATATATATATTTTGTCATTGTGGGTTATATGCAAGAAATCATCAATAGAAGCTTTGCAACCATGTATTTTTTTTTTTTTTGGTACTGGGGATCAAACTTGGGACCTTACGCTTGCAAGGCAGGCACCGGAACCGTTGAGCTAAGTCCCCGGCCCAACCATGTACTTTTTTATACTATTCTATAGGTCTGTTTTTCCCTGGAGAACTGTTCCTTGTTTATAAAAGATCTAATTGGACTTAAAAAGTAAAAATACAAAGATTTGTCTTGGCTATATATTTTTATGGTTGATTTAATTATCATACAAGAAAAGACAGTGTTTCAAATATTTTTTGCTTAGCATACCTATTGATGAACTTGTACACCCAGTAATAAGACTAATTTTTCTCTACAGGTGGTGACAAAGTGATAGATGTCATTGATGTGGCAAGGCAGGCAGACAGCAAAATGACACTTCACAATTATGTTAAATACTTCATGAAACCTAACAGACCAAAAGTGTTAAATGTGATCAGCCTTGAATTTTCAGATACAAAGTGAGTAGTTCTGGATATTTTGTTTTAGCATTCTGAACATTAACTCAGTGTAGCTCAATGATGTATTTATTCTAGTAAGAAACATAATTGTTAACTTCTGAGTTGTCCATTGGTATCAGTGTTGTAAATTTTTCTTGGAATATTTGGAAATAAGATGTGTTTTAAATTTTAAGTGTTGTTAACCTTGAGTTCTGATTATTTACTTGGTTTAGGTTGACATGAGAGAAGCAGTTTAAAGAAGTTTTAATTTGCATTATGTGAGTGTGTATACACATGTTTGTTTTCTTTTAAAAGAATGTCTGAATTGGTGGAGGTCCCTGATATAGCCAGGAAACTTTCCTGGGTGGAAAACTATTGGCCAGATGATTCAGTCTTTCCCAAGCCATTTGTTCAAAAATACTGCTTAATGGGTGTTCAAGACAGCTACACAGATTTCCACATTGACTTCGGTGGAACATCAGTCTGGTACCATGTCCTCTGGGTAAGACTAGGGTGTTTCTTTGTACTCTTACTCACAAAAATATGTAGTTATATTTTTCAAGTGGTATTCATTTGCTATAAATGACACTTAGAGAGGGGGAAGTTTTTCTACTTTTTGGTAGGATCTATCACTTTGCCTTTAACAGTTACAACTTTCTAAAATACTAAGTAATAGAAAGGCATGAGTTCTTTCTGTTTTTAAAATGCTTTATTAGTATATATTTGTGACATATAAATACATTGATCATGAGGAATTGGTACATATACATATCACATCTTTATGAGTTATTTATATTTAAATTGCTTTTTTGCCTCCATCTTTTAAATTGGTTTCTGTTAGCCTTATGTCTTTTCTTTCCCCATCCCCCTAGTTGATTATCCATTACTCCCTGAACCAAATACCTAAGAAGGAGCAAAGTAATAGTAGTAATTGCTTCTGGCTTTAAGGATAGGGTAAGATAACTAGCTGGGTAAGTCATAAGTGCCTATAAAAATGGTAATTATTTGTGGTTTATATATGTTCATTTTGCTTTATCCAGAAACATACTGCTTAATATAGTACCCATTAGCCATGTGTGACTAAATTTAAATAATTAAAATTCAGTATAATTTGAAATATTCAGTTCCTCATTTTCATTGGTGACTTTCAAGTGCTTAGCCACACTCGGCTAGTGACTACCATGCTGAGTAGCACAGATAGAGAAATGCCCCCCCCGAAGTCCTGTTGGAGGGTGCGGATCCAGAACCACATCAGATCTACACCAAGTCCTTGACTCTCCTGCTCCTTTCCCCCTGGAAGACAAAAAGACTTGGTTCAGTAAAGGAAGTTTATTAACAGGTTTTTAGTCGTTATGAGATTTAGATCTTTGGAGAAAGAGAGTTGGAGATGACTCTGTGCTGTGACCAGGCCTGTTAACATGTGTTTACTTGGACACCTTAAGAATGAGAGGCCGTCTTGGAGGTGTTTGTGGTTTCCTACCTGGCTCTCTGGCAGTGATTTCTTCAACTTGATTACTGACTCCTTGTCAATTGGGGGTGGAGAAAAGCTTTAGCACCTGTGAAATGCTGATTAAGGGAATTAGCTATCAATTAGGAATGTGAAATAGGTCTTTTTGAACCTAAAAAATCTTGCTAATTATTTGATTTAATTTAGGTCATTGTATTGGGAAATTTTATCAATGTAGGCCATTGAAGGAATGGCTTTTGGTTTTTCAAAGATAGTATGATTACTTCCTTTTAGGGTGAGAAGATTTTTTATTTGATAAAGCCAACAAATGAAAATTTGGCACTCTATGAATCTTGGAGTTCATCTGTGACCCAGAGTGAGGTATTCTTTGGCGATAAAGTGGATAAATGCTACAAATGTGTGGTAAAGCAGGGACATACCTTATTTGTTCCTACAGGTAAGGTTTAACCCCCTCCCCACTACACATAGTTGATTCTCATTCACAAGGAGTCAGCTTGTAATTAGAATCTATGGCTTCAACATGTTTGTAAAGTAGATTTATGGCATTGCTTAAGAGATAATTCTGATCTTGACTTTTTATTTGTTTATCCCATAGAGGGCTTCTCTTAGAGTTAGGACTTCTTTTGGTATTGTTTTTTGTTGTTTGCCATCATTTTAATTTTTTAAAAATAAAATTCACATGCTATAATATTTCTCCTTTTTTTTTGTGTGTGCTGGGGATCAAACTTGGGTCCTTGCGCTTGCGCAGCAGGCAGCGAAACCACTGAGCTAAATCCCCGGCCCTATTTCTCCTTTTAAAGCATACAATTTAGTAGTTTTCAGTCAATAAATAAGATTGTGCAACCATCACAACTATCCAACTAGAACATTTTTGTCATCTTGGGAAGGAACCACATACCCTTTAGTAGTCACTCGCATTGTCCCCTGTCCTGAGCCTCTGGCAGCTCCTAATGTGCTTTCTGTCTCTATAGGCTCGGCTGTTTTAGACACTTGATATATGTGGTCTTTTGTGTCCAGCCTCTTTCACTTAGCATAATGTTTTCTAGGCCCATCCATGCTGTGGGACATACAAGTATTTCATCTTTTTATGGCCCAGCAGTAATCCCCTGTAGGTGTCATGTTTCATCCACTCATCCATCATTTGGTGAACATTTGATTTCTTCCAGCTTTCGGCTGTTCTGAACAGTGCTGCCTTGAATGTTTGTGTACATGTTTCTATGTGCAGGCCTGTTTTCATTTCTCTTAGGTGTATATCTGGTGGTAGAACTGCTTCATTGCATAGTTCAGGTATGCTTAATTTTTTGAGGAACTGTCAGTCTGTTCTGTGAATGTGCCATATACCTGAAATGTAGATAGCACTATGTCAGGTTGAGATGTGAACAATACAGAGTAGATTATCCAGACCAGTGGTTTTGAGAACTGTGTTCTTTTGGTTTGGGCCACCTCAGTGGCTGCACAGTTCGCAGGCTGTTTCCAAGGCTCTGCTTTCTTCCCTTGTCCTTGGTATGTATAATAATAAATGTGTACTTGAATAAATTCCTACAACCACTAGAATTGTCTGGAATAAATTATCAGTGTTTTCATTGAATTAATAAACTCCTTCCTTAAATCCTCTTTCTACTACTCCCTTTTATAACAAATATTTTGTTGTACCATCTTGAATTGAAATTTATAGATAATGTATCTGTAACTTCCTGCATAATTTTTTTTAAAAATTGATTTAATGGACTACAAAGAAGAAGTAAAAAGGTAATTTATAAATGAAATGCTATTTTGATATGTGACTGTGTGCACAGTAGCAGTAGAGGACAGAATGAATTGGTCAGCTGCCTGAATCAGCAAACCAGAATAGATGTGTGAAGTGGCCTCAAGTTCCAGCAGTTGCATTGGTGGGATTAGTGGTTCTCAGACTTCAGTAAACATCAGGATCATCTAGAGAGCTGATTAAACCAGACTGTTGGGCCTTATCCCCCCAGGATTCAGTAGATCTGAGATAGGCCTGAGAATTTGAATTTTAACAAGTTCTAACTGGTGCTGTCGTGTGGTCTGGGGACCACACTTTGAAAAATACTATTGTAGGCAATGTAATTTTCCCCCCAAGATAGTTGATTAAGCTTCTAAGCAAACTAAACTATAATTGTCTTCAGTTTGCAATAGTTATATTTCTGGACGTTGTGCCGAGACCATGTAGAGATACTTTGTTTAGATACATAATGGAGTTCTGGTTTCTAGGTTCAGATAGTTAATGAACAGGATTTGTACCTATGAATGCCCAGCAGATTTATATTTCTGTAATGTCCCTTTGTTAAATCCATCATTTCTTTCATAAGTTAGGCATCCTGTCTTAGAAATGATTCTCACTTTGAAAACATTTCTATGGGAAAACATCATTTTGGTTGCCAGCATTTCTATTTATAGGGCCATGCCTTTCCACAATTAAATGTTGGTCATCTGCCTTTCCCTTCTTACAGAGTTGGGTCTCAGATTGGGTTTCTGATTCTCCTTTCCCTCTTCCCTGGAGGGCACTCAGCTAGTTCAGCATGGCACTAGGGAAGCAGAGTGGGCAGCTAGCTCCCATTCTCTGAGGGAAAATGTACTTTCCTAATTCAAACCAGGTTTGACTTGTCTTAGAGTAGAATCTTTACTATAAGGTTGGATTATGTTTTTAAACTAAACACAAAAATAGTAACTACCAAAAACCTTCACTTTATTCCTCAAACTCAGTACAGACCTTGGCATATTATAGATAATTAATAAATATCTAATTGAAAGACTTAACTGGTTGTAATAGACATTAAGTACTCCAGCACTGGAGAATGAAGCAAACTAATGTTGATCTTTGAATTATCTCACAGGTAGACATCACATCTGATTGGTTTAAATACTGAAAAGTCACTGATTAATATGTTGTAACCATTTCAGGGTGGATTCATGCCGTGCTCACTTCTCAGGACTGTATGGCTTTTGGGGGTAACTTTCTGCACAACCTTAACATTGGCATGCAGCTCAGGTTTGTGTCACCAATATTGAAAGGACCTTTTGCCTCTTTTTTAAACAGATTTTTGTTTGCTTGGTTTAAAAATCACAGCATATTTTATTCGAGATTCCATGGAGATAGGCCTAGAGAAATGATTAGGAATGGGAAATATTAACAAAAGTATTAATGGAAAATTTTGTTGGTACTAGTTTGATACATTTCAAACCTAAAGCAAAGTAAGACTCATTCATTGTGATTTTATCTTTCCAAAGTTCAAAGTTTTATGAAGATGCATATGTTCTCCTTTGGCTACTTTTGCATTGGGGAAAATGTCAGTCAGATTCAATTGCAACTTCTGATCCTGAAACAGAGCAGTCCTTAGGTCAGGACTGGTGTCAAAACACTTGCTTTAATTCTGTTTGGATGAAGGATTAAGCCTTTCCGCTTCTGTAGGAAAATTTGATCTTTATGTGACTGTTCCCCAGGTAGTCTAATGAGGGAGACAGTTATTAGTCAGCCTTGTGTATGGCAAGCATGATTCCTGGCTAATAACTGCATGAGGACCAGGAGAACTAGAAAAACCTAACAGGAAGCCATGTCATTGAGCTTCCCTGATTGTGATGACTCTTGTAACTGCATGCCCAAGGGAAGCTCTGGATGCTCTGCACCCATGGAGTTACTAAAGGAGATAGCGGCTCTTATAGGCCTTAAGGCTTTAAAGTCAGGGTGGGTCCCACATCCAGCAAGTATGGATGTTGCCTATCTTGTACCTGAGCTGTCTTTGGGGGAAAGATGGCTCCTGCTACATGGACTACAGCAAGGAAGACTAACAGTTACTGGCAAACTGTGGTTCCCGTTGTCACACCTTGACTGGTGTCAAATGTGGTCTTGACCTTAAAATACTAAAGAAAACTTGACTGGCTGTTATAGTGTTGTCCACTGATTTTTTAAAGAAAAGTTTTATTTATTATAGTAGAATCCTCATAAAACCCTTTCGCTAAACTTAGTATACAAATTCCAGGGTGTGATTTTTCATGAAGCTCCATGTAATTAATAAATACGTTGTCAAATTTATTAAAGGTAGAACCTGGATAAGGTCATAATTCAGCATTGTCCAGCTGTGGTGTTTTTAAGTAGATGCAACACTTGATTGGTCTTTCTTACATGTTATGTCCTGCTTAGTTTATTTTTAAATTATCTTCATTTAACTTTGAAATGTTAATAGTAAAAATAATTCTTCCAATTGTATTCATTTAGGTGTTACGAGATGGAGAAAAGGCTAAAAACACCAGATCTTTTCAAGTTCCCTTTTTTTGAAGCCATATGTTGGTTTGTAGCCAAAAATTTGCTGGAAACCCTGAAAGGTAATTAATAATTGCACATTCTGTTATACAATGATACATAATGTTTGTAAATTTCCTTAAAGCTGCCTGACAGAAAGACTGCTAGTTGGGTGTGGATGTCACCCGTGTTATGTTTTTAAAATACAGTGTACACGATCTCCCCCTACTGGGAACCTTTTTAGTGATTAGTTTCTAGCCCATAGCCTACTAACCTGCGTTCTTAGAAATCACCTGCACCGGAAGCACATAGGTAATACTCATCTAGAGCTCCAGTGACCTGTACACATTCTTAACTATCCATAGGTACCTCACTCTCCAGAAGGTGACTTCTGTCAAGAGACTCTTACCTCGTATGTGTTCTTAAACATTTGTTTTAAAAGGCCAGGGGACTACTTCTCATGTCCTGAGAGAATCAGGTAATGGCTGTCCCTCACCATTGTGACTGTCAGCTGGCTGGCATAATTCGCCTACTAGCTCTGACGACTGAACATCAGTCAGCTTAGGATCTGTATGTTTTTTGAAACTTCTTTTGTTTAGATATAAAGCTGTTTTTTCAAAGGGGGAGTTTCAGATTTTGATGTTTTTATATTCTGACTTAATCTTTGAGCAGTGGAGATTGTATTTTCACTGCCACAAAGTGCATGAAAAACAGGAAATAAAAATAGACATGATATTCAATTTCCAGGTGCCAGGGAGAATACAGTTTGTTGGGGGTGTTGGATTGTCAGTTTGCAAATGGTACTAATATTATAAACTCCCAGGAGAACAGATATAAACAAATTAAACAGTAAAGTTTATCTAAACATTTTTTTCCATTTAAAACTTATAGAAGAACAGGTAAAGTGAAAAGAAACAACCAAAAATTAACTTTGCAGGATAGCATGTATGGAACCGAAGTGATAAAACTCACCATGCATGCTCCCCGTGCCCCAACAAAAAAAAGCAGACAGTCCCCTCTGAGTGGAAGAACAATGACACCTTGCAGTGCATGTGGTGTAGAGGGAGGTGTGTGCGGGAGGTGGGACCCAGATGAGGAGGGCTAGGTCTGCTGTGCAGGCCTGTCCTGTGCTTCAACAGTGAACCCTTATCCTGATCCCGGCCTCAATCGTGTTTTCAGGTGTTGTGCTTGGCTGCAGGAATGGGCATAGTGCGCCAGAGAATTGCCATTCCCAGCTGTCAAGGTCGCAGTGAAAATTGGGCACTGAGGTTGATCATCTCTTCTCCATGTACAAGCCTAGGAAAGCAGGAACACAGACTGTATATACTTGTAAAAAGTATTAACAAGTGTCTGTGTTTTCTGGAAATACAACCCAACTATTGAACTCTTCAATTAAGAGATTGGCAGTTCTATCTACACTTGGTTCAGAGTTCTTTCTCCCATCTTTTCTGTTAGTCTGTCATAGGATCCCAAGTTCCTGTTTTATGGTTAGTGAGGAGAAAATCCACTAACACATACCCCCTAATGCTGAAGAGGAGCTCATCAATTAACTTTTTAGAATGAATTTAATTTATTTGAAAGACAAAATCTTGTTATTTTTTAAGCCACAGCATATTTTGCATAGTCTTGGAAGTAACTATTTATGAGCTGGTCACGGTCACCATATGCCTGTAGTCCCGTACTTGGGAGGCTGAGGCAGGAGGATC